GAAATTATTTTCGTATTATTCCCATACGACCAACATCTTTTAGAAATAACTTGATAATTCAACATCAAATGTTACTGAACAGAAAACTGTTCAATATCTTCGTCCAACATCATTCAAACAACAACAAAAAGAAATGCAACAATTGAATAAAAATAAAATGGAAATTATTCCGTATGCTACATTTCATGAAAAGTGAATCTTTTGTTTTTTTTATTGATAATAATTATAAATTGAATTTGGCTTTTTTTTTTCTTTTAAGAAAACAATTGTTACTAATTGATCAAAAAGCTTATACTCGAGATTTTCAACAAAGATATGATAATGAATTCTTACAAGTAAAATAAATTAATTTTTAAAGTTTTACTAGAAGACTTTGGATATCGGAATCTTCCTTTCAGAGTTAGAATTATTTTTATTGAAATTGTCTATAAATAGTTCTTAGAATATCTTTGAAACCATGCTGAGGATCTTCGCTTATGTTTCTGATTCATGCTGAAAATGTGAAGATCTGCAAGAATGGAAGAGTCGTTTTGTGACAGAGAAACACCTCGATATATGCTTCTAATGATTAGAGAAATCGAAAGAAGAAGATGTACGATAGAGAAATCACATATTTATATTGTCAAATACCTCACTGATAAAAAATAATGGCATGGATTCAGTCTAAAGCCCTGTGAAACAAACTATTTTATGTCCCGAAATCTTTTCGAGTTGTTCCTTAAACTCTGTTGACCGAGAAGAGTATAAAAATACTGCTTTGTCAGCACAATACTTGTGGAAGAACATGTCTGAATACTGATGAGATTAATAATTTTCTATTAATCAGATGAAATATTGAAATGTTAATGGAAATTTACTTCCTTGTAGTGTACGCCTAAAAAAGGAAATTTATTTGATGTATAGCTACAGTTTAAGTACATTCGTCCTCACACACTCATATTAATTCATACGCAGAATACATTAACTATGACAATATGTTTTAGCTAAATTATAGTAGAAGTGAAACAACTGATGCATAGTTTTGAAGGCACCTGGAAATATTTTTTCTGATATATCATTTATTTAAGTGTTAAAATATTTATTAGAAACTAGAAATTTCAATTTGCAATGCGTTATAATAAGTGCATTTAGAAAAGTTGGGACATTAGTTTTTTTTCTGAATAGTTTCGAATGTTCGGAATTTCGTTCTAAAATAAATTTATAATTGTAGCGTTGGAATAAAGGTGTAATTAGTGATATTGATTGATGGTGAAACAACAATAAGTAGTTCAACAAAGTCAACAATTTGGTAGTACAACTGTTAGTTCATCAATGAATAATCGTTTATCTCAATTAAATCTTGATCGCAATGGTGATCGTGAACATTTATCTGATATTGAAAGTCAAACAGATCCCGATGGTGGTCAAAGTGAAGCTGATAAAGAAGAAATTCGTCAAATATTTGATATATCTCATGCATTAGAAACATTTGATGATTATAAAGAAATAAAAGAATGGATTAATCAAGATACAACATTATTTGTTTATTCACAAAAAGATAAAATATTATCAATAATTGAAACAAATTCTATAACAATTATTCAAGGAAATATTGGATCAAGAAAATCTACACAAATTCCACAATATATATATTAGATGATTAAGTAAAACAATCCAAACCAGTTAATATTGTTGTAACACAACCATGACGTATTGCTGCTCGTTCACTTTGTGAACATATATCAATATCACGTAATTGGCCTGTTGGACAAACAGTTGGTTATCAAACAAGTTTAAATAAACAACGTTGTGAATTAACAAGAATTTTATATTGTACAACTGATGTTCTTTTACAAAGATTAATTTTAACAAAAACTTTTCAAGATTTTACACATATTATTCTTGATGAAGTTAGTTTTAAATAATAAAAAGAAAAATAAAGTTTTTTTTTTTTTTCGTAGGTTCATGAACGTGATCAATGAATGGATTTTCTATTAATATTAATTCGTACATTATGGTTACAAAATTCTCATAATGTTAAAATAATATTAACATCAGCAACAATTGATGTTGAAAAATTAGCTCATTTTTTTCGTCAAGTTATTAATGGACAAATTCTTTTAGTTTATCAATTTAATGTTGGTGATCGACTTTTTGATGTTCAAGAAATGTATTTAGAACACATTCAAAATTATGGTCTTATAAGTTTAAAAGAAATTTTATTAATATAAAATAATAGAAAATTATTTTTTTTTAATTATCAGACTTAAAATTAACTAAAGCACGTTTATCTCGTGAAGCAATTAATCTTGCTGTTAACTTAATGAAAAGTTTTGATAATGAAGATAGTATGGCCGGTTGGGATCACACGAAAAATTTACCTATTAAATGTGTTACTGTACTTGTTTTTCTTCTTGGTTTACTTGAAATTCAAACTGTTTATGAAACTTTACGTTTTCCACGTGGAAAACCAGATTCAATGTAATTTAATCCAGATGATTATGATGAATGTATTATATTTAATTATGATATTATTCCATTACATTCAAAATTATCAATGGATGATCAAATGAATATTTTTACACCAGATAAAAATACTTATCGAAAAGTATAATTATATTTTTAAAATTGGAGAAGAATCTTTTTTTAGAGAAAGTTAAGTTTAATGATGATGTTTTAGTATGACCGAATGGAAGAAATCGGATCGGAGAGAGGATAAATATCTACTTCGCTTCTGATCTAATTACACATCAGAAGTATCCATCGCAGTAGTGACGCTGCTGCTGTCATAGTGCGACAGCAACAGATTGTTAGTTGCTACAGACATCTTTCTAGTACGGTATTGAAGAATCTTCCATCTTTTGCACTGATCCATTAGAGAATATTTGAGGAGGTGCTCATGCGTCAACCAGATGTATATCAATTGTTTAGAGCTTGATGACACTTTAGGAAATTTTCTCCTCATAAGTTGTTCTTCCCGAGTTAAGACTATTAGATTGAATTCTAACCAAAAAGTTTGCTTTCCTTTGTATTGTCTTGCTTGGTTCATTTCTTTTTGTCGTTCTCCATATTTACATGTAAATACTGACAATAATATGGAGAACGACGAAAAGAATCGGAGAGAGAGAGAGAGAAAGAGGCGTGACAAACGAAAATGAAATTGTAAACATCATTTTATTTTATAGTCATTTAACATGTCAACAACAGACGAATTTCTTGGAGATATCGATAATAAAACAGATGACGTACGTTGAAAATTTTTTTTTATCGACGTTCCTAATTTTTCTAAAATTTAGGTCGAAAAAAAACGTACGATTGAAGATGATCAAGAACAAGAATATGTATTGGCACTTCTTGCTGTTGATAATGCGAAACAAAATAATGCATCAAAAGAAACAATTGAAGCATTAGAAAAAGAAAAAGATAATAAAAAATTAAGGTTCTATCGAAGTGGAATCGATGCTGATGTAGTTGATGCAAGACGAGCAAAAAGAGAACTCAGCAAAAAAGATAAATCTGCATTTAAAACATTTTCACAAATCATTGCTGAAGGTCTTGGTTTAGATGATGAACCTGATTATGTTTATGTTAAAGCAATGAGTACATTAATTAAAAAAGATACAGTTGCTTATATGGTAAGTAAAAAAAAGGAAAAAAAAGCAAATAGAGAGAATTTTTATTTTTATTTATAGCTGTGTCTTGATGTAACATGTAGAGAAATAGTTGTAGATGAAAATAATGGAACATACAGGTGTAAAAAATGTAACAAAACATATAATAATTTAGAATGGTCTTATATGGTTTCGGTATGTAACAAATGTCTTTTTGCAAGATTTTATGACAAGATGCGAGTGAGAAATTGAAAGGTAGCGAAATGGGTTAGTTTGTTACCCATGCCATCCAAACCATTCGACAATCCTTAGCTGTTTTCTGTTTTTGTGATCTTTTATTGAGGCACCGAGGGTTATTGTGAGTAATCGGTTGGTTACTTGTCCAGCTAACTAACGGTTTGAAGACAGTTTCGAAAGCACGATACTTTTCCTATATTTACCGGTAATTGTAGTTGTGTATAAAAGACCGGTCTAACTCAAAGTGGTTCTGCTCAATCCTTTTCACTTCCCACACATATTGACTAGTTACGATGACGGGGGTATGTCATAACGTGATCAATATGCTGTATTACTGATAATCCGAGACAAACATTTGCTGGTGACATATTCACGGTCACGAAGAAATCGACGTTTAGAATCATTCAAAAAATTATTTTTAAGATAAACAAGTTTGAAAACATTCACTTTCATAATCAAGCAACAAAAATTATTTTTTAATCGTGAAATTATCAACTGTTTCATTACTTATCTGATTAGATTACGATGCACGCAATAAAAATCCAATTTCTAGTTATCAATCCAATTGAAAGGCGTAATGGACTAATTCCAACTAGAAAACTCGAGAAGTAGCAGCAGGAATGCGATGTCCAGATGCGTTGACTGATTTTTCAGTCCGCTGAGAGAAGTGATCAGAATCGAGCATAGTCGACCGCCAGATGCCAACATTTTCTATTGAAAGGCCACGGAAAAGCAGAGATGAGCACAAAACGGCTTTTTGCTGTACTCGTCATGAGCATCTTCGAATTCCATCTTTTTTAAAGATGCACTTTGTTCTGACTTTGTCCTTTTTTAGGCTGAAATCTCTGATGCAACCGGTGCACAATGGATCACTGTATTTGGTAATGAAGCTGAAACATTACTTGGTATGACTGCTAATGACTTTGGTAATCATATACTTAATGTAAGTAATCTCTCTTACGAAAATATAATTAATGATACATTATTTTATTATTCTAGCAAAATAAAAGTATTATTGAAGATATCATTCGAAAAGCAATGAATCATGAACGAATTTTTAAACTTCGTGCTAAAGCTGAACAATATAATGTAAATCAATTTTCTTAATATCTTTCAAAAAAAAGAATCTAAAATATTTTTTTATTCAATTAGAATGAACGAAAGATTCGATTTACTTGTGTAGGTGTTAGTGATGTTGATTGGTCATCACATGGACGACGATTAATTGAAGAAATCAATCGAATGGAACCTGTGCAACATTAGTCAGATATTATTATTATTATTATTTTTTTTCTTTTTTCGATATATTTTCATTGATTGTACAGATAGAAACGTGTTTGTTAATCTTGGCAGATATTTTTTTTTCTACATATGTATATGACACAAAAATAAAACATTATGATAATAAAGAAATGAAATAATATATTCAATTTCTCTTTTTTTTTTCTCTTATTAAAATACTCTATTGACGTCAAAGAGATTTTTGAACTCAATCTTTAATATAATGATTATCAACATCAAACGTGTGAATAAATCACTTTAATGATTTGACTTATATTTATATTAAAATCATGTTCTATTTCATGTCATTCTAAAGGGAAACGAATTATTTATCATTTTCGTATGCTAAAAGTACATTGGAATGATCAAACGCTTTTTTTATCATATTACTCTTTTTTTTCATATAAAAAAAGGAGAGGTATCAACTAATAATATACAGAGAGAAAAAATAGAAAAATCTGCTTTTTATCATGTTAGTGTACGTTAATATAAAGTATGAACTGCGTTACGTATGTTATCATTCAATGTAACTTTAATGGATATTGTTATTATTATTATTTATAAGTGGTAAATAAAAGTAGATTCCGTGCGTTTTTTTCTTATCAAATTTCATTTCCTCAACGTTATGTTGGATTAACATACAAATCAGATTTTAATATGTGTAGTGGAGATGTGCGTGATTTAGAATTAATCAAAAGACGAACAATGTTACCTATTTCTGTCATAGACACTCGAGTTTCTATCTCATAAAGAACAGCTGTCTCATGAAAGATTGATAAAAAAAGAACGTACGTGTTCATACATCGTTCATTATTATAAAGAATTTCTTTTAAACTATGAACGTTTTTTTTTTCAGATATAAATATTTTCATGGCTCAGTGGTTTTATTTCTATTTGATTTTCTTTTTGTCTTTTTAATAATATAAAGATGGTGATATTACCAGATGAAGATACTTTATTAAGACGACATATTGGTGCAGCATGTGAAAACCGTTATCGAGCACAACAACGAACAGCAAATCAAGAACCATATCTATCACCAGAATTGTTACGTGGTCGTTGGATTGAATTGTTTAATGAACAGAATAGAGATAATCAAACATAAATTTTTAAAAATTAAAATTTTATCTTTTAATCAATGTCATTTATCTTTTAAAACAAAATAAAAAAAAAAGCACGAAAGGAAAATCAATTTAAAAAACTTCATTTTTTATTATTTTTTCAATCCAATTGTAGTTGATTTTTGTATTGAGAATTTATTTATATAATTTTGTCCAAGTTGAGATACTTTACTAGCAAATGATTTCCAAATATTGACAAGCTTTTATTAGAAGATAAAGAAAAAATTAGTTTAAAAATTCTTCTTTTTTTTGATGAACTTACATCCGATGATCCTTGGCATTGACTATTACCAAGATTATTTAAGATGCAAACAAAGGCTTCTAAATTTGCATAAACTACTTGTGTTTCAATTTGTACAAATTTAAGACCATGTCTATTACGTTTTTCAATCGTTTCAAGATTATTATCATTCTATAAAGAAAGATAGATTAACATATAAAGGGCAGAGTTAGGACAAATACTTGACGTTGTGTATAGTTTTTGAACATACTTCAAATGAACGATCCAATATAAACATTTCTATCAAATTTTTTTAACTATGTATGTGAATCCTGTTAATAAGAGTATCTTTCAATGCTACTCTTTTGCCATTCAGTAGAATAAGCAAAATCATCTGATATTATGCAGTTCAATGAGTTTTGAAGTGAATTATTCGATGGCAGTATTTCTCGCTTATGAAAAGTAGGAGAGTTGTTTTGACATCATTGTAATGTTATTTAAATCAAAGATCATTGCTCCGCTTCATACCACCTCATTAAAAGTTCATATTGAGAAACAACTTTTTTTGGCAAATTTTTCAAGCACTCATTTGAAACAAGCTCGGTTTAAATACTTGATATTTCTTCATGTATGGTTCTGTTGCGTCATATATGATCACGAAGATATACTATGATTGTACGCAGTCATATGAACCATCATAATACGAACATATGAGGGAAGAAGTGAACATATGTCACGATAATTATTTTATCTTTATGACGTCAAATAAAGGAAATAAAATATATATAGACTGTGTCACACTAAAAAACTGATAACGTTTACTCTTTGATATATATATATACGTGTATTTAGCTGTGTTCATAAAAGAAAGAATAACATGCTTGGAAGGGAAAAAATCGCTTCAGAATAGTGCGAGGGTGGTGATCTTTGATTTAAATAACAGGGTGAGAGTGCATTATCTTGATGAAATAATCAACCTCATACCAACAGTCATATTACGATCATCGGATACTATGATAAATCAGTCTGAAACGTCCTTTAGACAGCACTAACATATAGGAATGAATCTTCGGCTACATTGTACATAAGAATCCATTTCAAAACTCATGAAAATGTGCAGCTTCAGATGATTTTGCTTATTCTATTGAGTGACACAAAGTACTATTGAAAGATACTCTTATTAAAAAATGTAGTCAAATAAGTTCGACAAAAATGTTTAGGTTGGAACATTCGTTTGCAGTATTTTAGAAAATAAAGAATATTCTAAGAATGAGGGTCATGTTTTGAATGTTCCACACCTAGCTAATGTGTCGTTACTTTTGGTGTTGTATCAGTTGTTGTTGATGAACGTCTTTGTTGATTATTTGCTTTTTGAATAGCTTTTTGTTCATTACGTAATGCTTCTTCGAATCGCCTACATAAATCCTAAAATGAAATCATTTGATTTTATGATGTATCAAAATCTTTTATCTCACTTTATATCCTTGAAGTAAATCGATTAATAAATGAAAATGATCATTAATAACTTCATCATCACGTTTATATCTTTCATTTATTCGTTCTGAAATAGCATTCATTTCACTTGGTAAATCAGTAAGACCAATTTGAATTGTTGCCCAATAATCATTAGGACCTGTAGCCCATCGATCGATAGTTGTTGAATCTGATCCAAGGATTCTAAGCAAAACAATTAATCAACTCTATTATCAATATAAATATTGATCTATATATATATATATACTGTAATGTTTTTTCAATATTTGCAAAATCATGAGCATTTTTTTAATTTTTTTCATTGATACTTTTTAAATATACACGAATTCCATTTAATTGTTGATGAAGATATGCTATATATGTTTGACTTATGCGAAACATCTGTATACCATCAGAATCATCTGCAGGTTTCTAAAAAAATAAAAAATTAATAAAAATTCAAATATATATTTTTTATTACTCCAATATTCTCTGTAGAATATAAAGATGATCGTGGTTCAGAACTGAATTCATCGAGAATATCTTTATATGTTGCTTTCATATTTTCACCGCATTACTATTCAGTAAAATAAAGAGCTAATTAGAAATTATTTTTTTTCATAAAAGATACAACTTGTTCCTTGAAAAGTTAGAGGTATGTTCAGATTTCCGAAAAAGGAAATTACAGAAATTTCCGAAGCTTCCATCAACTCGATAACTACATAGCAGAGCATATGAAAATCTTTTAGAAATATTAGAAATTTTAGAAGTTTTAGAAATTTCTGTAATTTCGGAAATTTCGCTACGTATAGAATTTTGGAAATTTCAGAAATTTCGGAAATTATATAATTTTGGGAAATACCAAACAATTTAAAACACAAGTGCTTGAAATTTCCGAAACTTCCAAAATTTCCTTTTTCGAAAGTCTGAACACTGCTGAAAAGTTAGAAAAAATTTGATAATTTCTGTATCACAGATTGCTGGATTACGACATAAAATTTGAAGATATCGTTTCAATGATCGACGACATTGTTCGATAAATTCTTTATCAATTAAAAATATGAATAAGAAATTCAACGATTTGATACATTTAGTCATTAAAAATCAAATAAATAATGTTTAGTGAGCATGAGCAAATTTTTCGTGCAATTTGGGAATCATCTACTTGAAAAATAGCAGCTCAAGGAAACAACAGAAATCATTAACAGTTTTCTTTGGTGGAAGTATTGGTATTATTGGAAATGGATATTTCAAAGTTAATAATTTGTGTAACGCAAGAAAATCATTATAACGATGCGAGACCTTGTTTTTCTGACGCTGTTATATTTTAAAAAGATAGAAAAAGATAATGATAGACGTTCCGAATAAAAATAGAATATTTACCATGCTGGTAACTTCATATTCAACATGTCGTATAATAACATCTAAAAGATACAATTTTCAATTGAAAATAGTTTATTTTAAGAGATTACCTTTTTTCTCTGGTACTAAATCTACTTGAATAGTATCAAGTACACAGAGATCATTATAATGAAAACAGAGAGTATTCTTTTGTTGATCATTTCGAAGTAGACGAATTAAGCGATCTTCTAAATCAGTTATTTTCTCAACTGTTGGAGTGAGTAGTTCTAAAATAAGAAGTAAAATTCGTTATATTTTTCTATACATTACACACTAAATATGGTACCTCGATTTACATAATTATTCAATAATTTCTCATCAATAGCTTTTCCTTGTTGAGCTAGTGTCATCAATGTCAAACATTTATAAAAATCATTACGTGAACTTATTGAACTTGTCTTAATAACTGCACACCAAAACTTAAAGAAATGAAAAATAAATTGTTCTATATCTCCTTCGAACATTTCACAATCTTCTCAATAAATTTACTTGATTTAAAATAGCTTTTGTCAATGTATTTGATTCAAACAATGGTATAAATATAGTAAACGTTATTTTATCTAATCCATGTAAATTAATCATTTCAAATAGATCACGATAGATTGATGGTATAGAATCTGAATTGAACGAAAGAAAGATTTATCAGTTTCTTACTTTCTTTAAAAAACTATCTCCACTTAAATGCAACGGAATTTTTTTGTAAAAAATATCTTCCGTTGACTTGTTCTTGAAATGAAAGAACAACAGAATTATGTAGAAAAGATCTCGAAATACATATTTCGATAGATGGCGCTCATGTACAACTATAGAAACAAGAAATTATTCATAATAGATTTCAAATAATCTTTTCGAATATTTTTATATTTTAAATAATTAATTTAACTCAAAAAAATGTTATTAATGAATATATGTTATTATAAAAATAAAGTTCATGTAGCTACAGAAATGAATTCCATCGAGCAATGGCTAAAATCTTTAAACCTCATTTGTTTATCTTTTATTTTGTGCTTTTTTATGTTAATTCAATTACGAATCGATTTTGTAGTATATAATGCCATCTGATGGTGAACTTGATCGAAATACTATCTTTGAAAAGTAATACTATTCAATATTTTTTTTAAAAAAAAATTATTTATTTTGTTCTGTTTTATTCAATTAGATTTGCTTCAATCAAACGAATGCATGATGAAGTAGGTAGAAAACAAACGGAAGACTATCAAAAACGTCTACAAAAATTGAAAGAAGAAGAAGAAGAAGTAAGTTTATAAAACAAGTATTTTAAATACAATTATTTAAATACATTAAACTATTTTCTCTTATGAATTGATATAGATTAATTAAAAATCTGTCTTCTTTTTCGTCTAATTATATGGCTAAATTACTTTCTCAACAAATTCCAAATCGACCACAACAAGATGTTTCTTCTCGTGTACAAAATTCAGCACGATAATTATTCAATTTAATTCTAATTTTCATCTTTCGATAAGATATAAAGTCAAAACTTGAAGCTGTATGAGATATTGTTCTATAATTAATTTGATAGATGTCAATATTCGATAGATTGAAGTTTGCTATTAAATGATTTGTTGTCTTTACACAGACTTCAGATTGTCAAAAAAAAAAATCAATTTTTATTCTTAGTCGTGATTTATTTCTAACATCGAAAAATGACATAAATCAATCCGACATATTACTTTCACAGCAGCAACAACAACGACATCATTCTTCATCGAAGGTAAAGTACAAGTAATTTTCATATGATGGATAAAACTTCTGTGAATATTGTCCACTTGACTCTGACTAATTCTGATTCAGATCTGACTTCATCAACACTAGTCCATACAAAAGGTAGATTATAACTTGATTAGATCATTGGAAAGATTGCTGAAATCATGTTAAAGATGTGTTCTAAAGTGACTCACTGCAAATTAAAATACTTCATTGAACATAAAGAGTACAATTTAGATTTGAGTTCAAATCCAGAAAAATGTTGAACAAGTCGGTTTCGAGAATTTTGTGGACGGTAGTTCGTACTCTGGTCTTCTACAAGTGAAGTTTTGTTAGAAATTATGCTTCGATGTTGCATAGATTTACTCGTATATGTTCGTCCGTTGATTACAAATATAACGTTTGTTTTACATGATATCTAGGAACACGATTTCATTTATATGATATTCGCTCGTTGATAAAGAAAAACTATTTGTTTTCAACCACAACATTTACATAACTTTTTTTCTATCGTATGACGAGTAGAATTATAACAAAAATGATGCAGTCAGTGAGAGTTGATGCTTGAGGGTGGGTGAAGGCGATCTGTTTTTTGAAGGTAGATGCCTTCTCAGGTAAAATACGATTGGTTAAGAATGTCACAAGCAAATACTTTTAAATCTCTATTATTGGATGCAATTATTCACGTTCTAGTGAATAAATATATTTTCAGACTTCTTATATAATAATACTAATTAGAAGTAATTGAATCTATTTTAAAAAAATCGACTATTCGTTTTCATATTTTTTTTGTGCATTCTGAAAATAATTTTAGTCATTTTTTTGAATGACTCACATTTAATTCATTATTTACATTTAGTCAACAAATCGATCTTCATCTCATTATCATCATCAAGATTCATATGATCATGAATGGAATATTGACGATGATTTTCAACCATTAAATATAACTGATAATGAAGTACTTGATGAATCAATCTCAAATCGTTTAACAAATGATGATGAACCAGATGATTCATATATAACTGCTTATCAACAATTAATTCAAACTCAACAACAACAAATGGTGGCTCAACAAGAACAAGAAAATATGTTATCCACGATATTTGAAGCATCTTGTGAAGATGCCTAACCAATGACATCACTTATTGATGTACATCAACAACGTACACAAGTATCATCACTATCTCCATCTATTCCAATTGCCGAAGATAATTATGTTAATGACAGCGAAGAAGATGAAGAACGAGAATATACCTATCGTCCAGAAGCACCATCATTTGCATCACTTGATGAAATACTTGTATCGACAATATTTCTATTTATTTAAATGATTCATTGAATTTTTATTTCCATCGTACATTTAAAATACAGTGAATATATTCTTGAAAAACTTTAAACAGAGTTAAAAAAAAATTTGTTGTTTTTTTTGGTCGTTTTCTTAAAATTAAATTCCATACGAAAGAAAAAAAACATACGGGCTTTTTTTTTTCTTTATATTATCATTGTATAAAAAAAAGAATGAATGAGAATAATATATATTCTAAAAGTAAAAGAACGACAATAACAATTTTATTTCAGCAACAAGTAATGACGAGAACCAATCTCACTGTGTTTGCCTTGATGTGAAAAATCTATTCGAAAAAAAAACCGTCAGCGATTTTCTAGAGAATTTCATTCTCTTTTCATTAGCATGAAAATTAAAATGTAAAATAATTGTTAAATGCTTCAAAGATAGAAAATCAAAATTGCTCACTTATTATGATGTATTGTGATTTTTCTCTCTCAGAGAAAAGTTTTACAATTTTTAATTTTCCAAAAGAATCTTTAATCAAGTTTTATAGTTGAAGAAAAATATTTCTGGAAATTTTTCGTTCTGCACCTCTGACGATACGTTTGACAATGTGGGAATACATTTCTAATGTCTTATTGACATACTTTATGTTATATTTTGAACATCATATAATGTGTTTTTTTTTTATTAAAGCTAGTGTTTATTGAAAGGTCGATTCACCTCTTAAGTGTTGAAAGCCACATATAATGTGTTTGAAAGAGCATAATACATGACAAACAGAAGAATGATCTAATGGATAATGAAAAATGTTATACACAAAGAAAAATCTAATGAACCGTTCATTATCGTCTAAGGGATCAAACAGACTACAAAAAAAGCTGAATTAAGAAATATGATTGGTGTTTCCAAGTGGCAACACCAATCATATTTCTTAATTCACCCTCAATTTTTTTCAGTCTGTTTGACCGCTTAAATATGATGACACTAATATTTATTCGTCATTGTTCTCTCAAACGGCAATGAAAAAATGCAAACATATATAAATTGATATGAATTAATAGTATAATGGTTTAAACATGAATATTCCTAATAACAATCATCTAAATATAGTCAATTTGCCCGTAGAAATCTTATTGATGATTATCAATAAACTGAATATTAGTGATGTTGTTTATTCACTTATGGACATTAATGAACGATTTGCTCAATTAGTAGTTGATCCTCTTTATATTCATAATCTTGATATGACTATTATGAACATGAAATCATTTTATGATCGTACTTTTTCAATAGATGATAAAATTCTTTCAAGAATATGTGACAATATCTTACCTCGAATTCATAATCAAGTAACTAAACTTACTGTTGAACAACATTCAATAGAACGTATTCTTACCATTAATTATCCCCAACTTTATTTTTTAACATTGGTTAAGTTTAAAGAAGAAATTCTCTTTAAATATTTAACAGGTATACTACTGTTAATACATAATTTTGTTTGTTTTAATTAATAAAATAACTTTTCATCTTTAAAGATTATTCAATTCTTCATAATCTTAAAAATCAAATAACACATCTAAATGTCGATATTCAGAATGAGATGGGATCAGAATTATCTGAAATTTCATCAAATATATTTTTATTGATTTTATCTTTATGTAAACGATTAACACATTTGAATTTTTGTCAATTGTTTTCTTATCGAGATTCATCGATTTATATTTCTGAATTATCGCGAACAAGTTATATATCATCAAGTTTAGTTGAATTAAAAATAAATGTCTCAATTTTTGATGATTGTCTTGATTTGCTTGATGGATATTTGGATAACTTAACGAAATTGATTATCAATGTCAAACAAATTAAATACAAGCAACGATCAAATATTAACAATTTGGTAAGTGTCATCTCAATCATTGTTTTTAGGAGGAATATTAAATTAAATAAAAAAAAAAAAACATTTTTTGTTTCTTTATAGAAACAACTTCCTAAACTGAAGTGCTTCTCACTAACTTCGATTAATTATACACATGTTTATGATGAACGCATTACTCAATTACTTCATCAAATGATAAATCTGGAAGAATTGATATTATTTCTAACAGTAATAAGAATTGATTCCAATTTTATTGATGGTCATCAATTATATGATGAAGTTGTTATTTATATGCCGAAATTAAACAAATTTCTTTTTAGTATAAACACAAGTGTTATACTAAAGAATATTGATATTGACTTTTCATCAAATGAATACATTCAACGTAGTTTTATTGGAAAAGGATATGGACAAGTTGGTTCATATGTCTTTCCGAAATCAATAAATATCGTGCGCAGATTTCTTGCCTATCCTGAATTGAATATAAGGGGTGGCGGCAGATCTCATATCTTTTCACTTCCATATTCATTCAAATATTTTCTCGATTTGAACAATTCTTTTCAAGGTGGCATGTTTGATAATGTTCAATATTTAAAGATGAATGATATACGTCCTTTTGAATATCAATTATTCAAAAAAATCTCTGAAAATTTTCCTTGTCTTAAAGAATTGATTATATGTAACCGTGAAGCACAAACAGACAAGCAACATTTATCGACATTGATTAGATTTCCTCATCTTATTCTTCTCAATCTTGTTATGACACATGTTGATTATGCTGAACAATTTCTTTCTGATAAAAAGACTGATCTACCTTGTTTGTTGGATCTCTGCATCGAATATGAATCACTCATAATGGTAACAAACAATTTTACTAATAATGCAACACGTCTTCATTGTGCGAAATTAAAAGGACTTCATATAAATAAGCCGTTTGTTCGACCAAAACATTTTCATCAATATTTTCCTTTATTATAAATATGTTTTTTCTTATTAGAATTTTTTTTTTTTGAATAAAAGAAAATAGTTTGAAAGTTGAATGTGTTTAAACTAGCTGAAATAAAACCATTTTTTTTTAACATTGAGGGGGATTTATTGTTCGTTTAAAAGGTTAACAAGGTAATAACATAAAATAGTGTTAAATTAACAGCAATAGATAGTATAAGAAGAAGGAAGGAAAGAAAAAAAGAACGACTGCAATGAATTTGAATGGGAACCGTTTACATTTTTCTTGTTCTTATTCCCAAGTTTACATGACATATAAGATCGTGAGAGAAAATTTATGGTGGATGTGAGAAGTATTTAAGAATAATCAATTCAGGGGCACTAGAGGATTTTTTTAAATATTTGATATTGCTGCTTTCCAATGTAGAGAAAAGTGAGATAATCCAACTTCGTACTTACGTTCTCTCGGCTAGTCTTTTTGGGAATTTTGCGTTTTTTTTCTAAAACCGCAACTTTTGTAATACGTATTTGGAAGGGAAGTAGCAGTAAAGTAAGCATTAGTTGTTTGTTGAAAGTCTACACCTTCAGATGATATTTCTAAATTTTTCATAAATTTTATCCAATAGTTTCGAATATAATCACCTAATGAAGTTTTCCTGATGTGAGCAAGGATAGTAAGATCATCCTATTTAAGAAGATTGTAAACTAATCTTATACTAGAACAAAATATATTCTCTATATTTGCTTCTTGTTTTTCCGAGTAGAAAAACCAAGTGGTAAATAGCCACAAGAAGTAGAGTAAAGCGTATGCGGAGAAAAGTTTTTGTCGGTTTTTTATGAAATAAAATCATTATAACATAGGAAATGAAACATTTTTTCGACTTATATGCTATACTTGAACAAAAGCAATTCTTTTATTCTTTTATTATTGTTTGTAGTTATTCATTTCATAGTTTTACGAATAATATGATTTTTACTAAGCCCCTTTTTCTCTCGGTCTTTGCAATAGAAGATCCGACTCTTCTATTGTCTTTCACCAAATGAATGGAAGTTTTTTGCTGGAAAAAGACAAAGTTTACTATGAAGCAGTCTGTCGGAAGGTTTCTATTATGGGAGAGAGAGTTGATCACTTTTCATTTTTTCATTTCGAAATTAGGCACGTATATTATAAATAATGAAGTTTTTTTGAATTTGTTATTTCTATCTATTCTTCTTGAGTTTGTACTCTAACTCGAACCGTGATTCTACATTCTGAATCGAACACGTTGATTGAAAATAGCCAGTCATTTATTCTTCACTACTTGACTTTGTCAATGTTCATAAAATTATGCAAGAATTTCAGCTATCCGCACATCGACATAACTACCGTCGAAAACATGTAACACAAGATCAAAAAGTGAATCAGATGAAAATAATGTCAAAGTTCGCACGATACTTTAGTTGAATTTTCACGAAATTCATTTGAATTTCTGGGCAACTCTTTTGTTTCCTGTTTATCAAGATAGAGGAGGTATAGAAGATATTGGAGATATTGATTAATTGGCAGAGCTGATCATTCAATAGTGTTTGAATTTAAACATCTATTCATAAAATACTCTGTATATTGCTGCCACTTGCCAAATCTTGCTCGAAAAAATCAATTCCTACACATCCTATGTCTCCTATATCGCCCTACACCTCCTTTTATCTCCTATACCTATATACCTCCTCTATCTTAATAAACAGGAAAGAAAAGGGTGTCCGAAAATTCAAATAAAGCATCTAATCTCAAAGTTATGATTGTGAACAACCATTTTAGCAATAGTCATTTTTCAACTTCTCCTACTTGATCACATATACAGGTGTTTGCAAAAAAAAGTTGCTCATCTTCATCTACAAATATTATTCTCTATACAAGCCTTTTTCAAATTGTTCTATATTGTGATGAATCGCGTACGAAGAATACTATACGACAACATAAGTCAATATTTTCTTTGTTTACTTGTAGAAGAAATATAAAATAGACATCTCTTTTTCT